TGAGCGGAGGAAGGACCCCAGGCTGGAAGCCACAGCGAAACGCAGCGTCCTGGGCCACCTCGGCGTGGGTTGCGTCCTATCGCTCCCCACACGTCCCCCATCCTCCAGTCCACACAGGAAAAGCCCCAGCATTTCACCCTCTACCCATGGTTCCCGTTCTTGGTCCCCCTAAGCACCACCGCTGAGGTCACCGGGCCCCCAGGGCAGCCTCGCCCCTCTCCGGGGCACCGCGCCCACAGGAGCGCGCAGACGCCGTCCCTGAGCTCACGCCCCGACGGCCCCATCTACTCCGCACACGACGCCCCAGGGTCCCGCGGCCCCACGGCTGAGGTGATCGACGACGTGCACCGGCGCCCAGTCCCGGCTAGGGCAGGGACGCCCTCGAGCCTCAAAAGAGTCTCCGTCCCGCGACTCCCCGGAAACCCCGCCGCCGCCGCCGCGGGGCGTCAGATCGCGCCGAGTGGGGCACGGGGCGGCGGAATTAGAAAGCGGGGACACCAACGGTGTGGCCGCTTGTTCTCACCGCGGTCTGCCCCTCCGGGTACACGTCCACCAGGGTACACCAGTTCCGCGTCCCGTTCATCTTCTTTCCGGGGGCGCAGCACGGACAAACCCTCGGCCCTGCGCACCGGCTCCTACTAGGCGGCCGCGCGCGGAACCGCCCCAGGTACAGACGTGTCAGGGGCGGGGACTGGAAATAGGCCACGCCCCACGGCGCCATTCACCAATGAGAATGGCCTAATGAGCGGGATGGGCGGGGCCAGGAGGCTTCAGGATCCGTCCCATCGACCCTCGCTCAGATTTGCATAAAGGTGAGGCTTTGGCGCTACCTGGGGCTGCTTAACTGAACATTTTGTCTGGCGTGTATGCTTGTATCTCAAAACGCTCATTAGGCCTGCTGACTCCTTTCAACCCCAAGATCAGTGCTGGTCCGAGGGAATCACTCTGCCCCTAGGGGATGCGTTAGAGCCTGCAGCAGCTTTCATACAAGCTCTTTTCCCTATATACAGACCAGTCTGTAGTTTTGTGGAGCTGAACAAAGCTTTCCTCCACCGTGGAATTGCAGACACCAAGGGGCCAGCTCACACAGACTGGCCTAAGCCTGTCTGGCCCGTGCCCTTCCCTGGAAGGAAGCCCAGGCCAAAGTCAAAGCCAGCTTGGCTCTGGGTGGGGCTCGTTTGGCAGAAGCCATTGTACCAAAGCTGCCCTTATATGGTTGCAAGAGGCGGGACGTGTTGCCTTAAAAGGAATTCGTGTGCTTGAGAAATTGATGAGCCTCAACTTCTCTATTGCATTCGCTCCCAAGCCAGGCTGGCATCTTGGGGGCCTGGAAGAGAGGGTTGGCCAAGCAGGACCTCGGAGACTTTTCATAGCCCAGCTGCTCTAGGCAGGTGGCTGCTCCACTGGGCAATGGTCCACCTGGACAGCAGGCAGAATACCTTGGGAGGTCTGGCCCACTCCAGGATGGACAGTACTCCTATACCTGGCCATAAGCTCTGTGGACAACTGGCTCCCTCTTCAACACAAGGGCAGGGACGGCAGAACTTCCCTATCTCAGGTAGGGACTGGGTCCCATGCCAGGCAGGAATGGGTGAGGATCTTTGTAGCTAGGAAGTGAACACTGGGCATACCCCCATGACCCAAGGGAATAAAATTCAGTTCTGATGCTTCCCTCTAATCCTCAAAGGCATTTCCTGGCCTTGATATTCCCATATTCCCAGAGGGTTGTCCCACAGAGAATGAGACTGCTTGCTGTAAACACTTCTGGTTCCCTAGGTTCCAGGTCCCACCTGATCTGTTGGGAAGGGTCTCTGAAAAGGTTAGTGAGATGAAGACAACTCCAGCTTCAGCCTCTAAGCTGTACAGTTACAACGGCTTCTGCATAAAACCTTCTTTGGACCGCCAAAGAAGCCAGGGGAAAAAATGAGAAGACAAACCAAGGATTTCAGTATTGATATATAATTTTAATATTTAATTTAAAATGAAATCAAAGCTGGGTTGGATTGAGAGAATGTCTGATTTGCAGAAGAACAGAGAATTTTTTAAATCATGAATTTACAGGTCATTGGGGAGGGCAGCCTTCTTCCTCTGGCCAGCTCCCTCCAGAGCCTGCTGAAGAAATGAGAGGTGAATCATCCCCATTACCTCCTCCCCACCAGGGCTTGGCTCTCCCCAAAATCCAAAGGAGAAATAAAGCCTCCATTGCCTCTTTCCATTTCTACCTCCCAGCCCCAGGCAGGAAGCCCTGAATCAGGGCCAAGGTCCTGAGAAAATGAGGGTCCCTGGTTCCCCACCGAGGTGGGGTGCACTTGGTCAGGACAGGCACAGTGAAGGCCATAGGGATTAAGACCTTTGGGTTCTGAACTTGTACAGACAGTTGGCAGGGTTCCCACTAGTAACTACCTTGTAACCACATCCATAGTTGCAGAGAAGGGAGTGGAAGGACAGAAACCCTGAGCACAACCAGGCCCCGCCCCTGCAACCTGATCACAGCCCTACCAAAGTCCCCCTCCCAGGGGTCAGCAGTAGAGAAGCTAGTGGCTCTCCCCACCAGTCACTGGGGCAGCAGGGAAGGCTGACGGCCCCGGTTGTAGAAAGGCTGGTCTTTGGAGAGGTATGAATGTGCAGGTGTGAAAGGCAAGACGCACGTCCTTATCTCCTCACCTGGCTAAGGCACTGAGACGCAAGAAGGCAGGCAGGAATGGTAAGATGGGAAGGAGAGAAGTAGGAATGGTAAGATGGGAAGGAGTCCCTTGGATGTGCCGGCGTGGGAGGAAGTGGCGGGGTACAGGGACCACCTCGTGGACCCCCAACTGTGCAAAGAGGAGCGTGTGTTAAGTTGGCAGAGCCACGCCAGCATGTCCACTACCCATGATGCCCACCTCCATCCTCCTCCAGAGTGGGAGGAACATGGGTTTCGGGAGTCGGAAGCAGAATCGCAGAGGGGATTTCCCTGAGCCTTAGGATTAGAGCTGAAGAGATACAGCTTTATATACATGGCAATGTCTATCCCTTCTTATCCTGCTCAGTCCTCCTCTGCCTATATGCCCACCATCCTTCCACGAGGGAGAAGAGGGAAGGGTCGACAAATAAGGGAAGGACTCGGTTGGCCTAAAATACCCACCCCTCCAAAGGAAAGGGCAAGTCCATCTATCAGCTTAGCTCTGATGCCTTTTCACCGCCATCACTCAGACGCCTCCTGTCTCAGGTCTGAATAACTGGGTCATCGAGAGGAATGAGGACTCCAGGGCTGGGCAAGGCACAGCAAGACAGGGCGGAGCGGGGCTGGCCAGGATAGGCCTTGAGCCTGGTTTCTGGGCCTTGGCGGAGCATGAGCTAACAGGAGCTGGTCTGCAGGTTGCTCTCCGTAAGCAGAGACGCAATAGATGTGGGGTCATAGACACTGTCGAATTCCTCATCTGAGCTCAGTCCTTCGTGTCTGAGGGCTGACTCAGCAGCTGAGCGAGATGCTTTGCGCCTGAGTCAGAGAGAGAGGAACACTTGTAAGGGAAGGGAAAAGAAGACTTGAGACAGCCACCAGCCATTCTTTTCATGCTAAGGAAACTCTAATTCTCCTAAGGCCTAAAGCTACTTACAGGAACCCCTACTAATCAGAGATTTGGGGAGACGGGATGTACAGGACGGGGCCGAGATACTGAGAGGTAATCCTACTGACTTCGAGCCAGGAATAGGTGACTATCTGCAAAGTCCCTTCTTAAGGAGATTCTCCTTATCCAGCTCAGGAGAGTCCACTCCCTTGCTGCTCCACTGTCTACAGAGCAGAGGCAAAGGGCGGCCCATACCAGGAGTCCTTCTCCAGGGTTTTGATCCGGGCCTGGAGCTGTTCATTGACCTCATGCTGCTCCTCCAGCTCACGCTGGACCTTCTTCCTCAGGCTGTCCAGACGCTCGATCTCCTCTTCCGCTTCATCCACCTGCCGCTTGAGGGCCTTCACCCGCAAGCTTAGCTGGGCAGGACACCAAGTCCCCACATTAGAAAAGCATCTGCTACCACAGCCTGGGCCCCTCCCCCGAAACAATCTTGACCAGGGATTACTGTCCCTGGAAAGTGTTCTGACCCCAGGCGAGCTCTCTAACCTCTCTGTTCCTCAGTGTCCTCATCTGGAAAACAAGATAACAAATGGACTCAGCTCATAGGGTTGTCTTAAGGATTAAATGAGCTCATCCACTTAGAAAGAGCACTCAATACACGTGCTTACTGTGACTATTCTGGCCCAATTTTGTTCCTGGGTGGTATAAAGAGTTAACGTGCTTGGCTGCTAACAAAAAGGTTGAAGCCCACCCAGAGGGGCCTCAGAAGAAAGGCCTGGTAATCTACTTCCGAAAAATCAACCATTGAAAACCCTAGGGAACACGGTTTTCCTCTGACACACGTGGGGGCGCTGTAAATTGGAATCAACTCAACAGCAGAGCCACTCCTTTCGATCTAATCTCCCTGTCCTTATAAAAAAAAGTCTAAGTTAAGTTTGGAAGACACGGAGGACGGGGGCCGCCCTTGCCTTCGAGCAAATACGTAACATGCACTTGCCACGCGGCCGCTTGGCCCCCCGGGCCGTGTGCTTACCTGGTCTTTCTGATCATTGACATGTTGCCGCTCGTCATCAATCTGGAGAGACAGCTCTTTAACTCTCCGCTCCAGTTTTCGGTTGGTGGACTGCAGAACTGACTTCTCCCTAAGGCAGGGGGTAGGGAGATGTCCATGGCTGATGCCATTTCTAAGGGAATCCTCCCCTGGTCCCTACTGCCTCCAGGGATTCCCCTCAGTCCTGGGCCGCACCAAGAGCCCGGGGAGGATCCAGGTAGATCAAAGAACTGAGGAGACAGAGGTCATTCCGATTTCAGAATTTCTACAGCTCTCTCTGCTTTCTATCAAGAGATCAGGCCAGGCTGGCCACATCTGAGGTGGAGGGCAGAAGGAGCCCTGAAGGAAAAGAACGCAGAGGGAAGGAGGGAGGGAAGGAGGAAGGAAAGGAGGACAAGCTCCTGTCACCTCTCCTCGGCCTGCAGCCGCGCCTGCAACTCCTGATTCTGGGACTCAAGCTGAGAAAGGCTGGCGCTGGGCTTCTGGAAGCCTTCTGAGCTGGCCAACCGGTTCTTCAAGTCCTTGTTCTGGGAGGACAGGAAGGCTCCACGGTCAGTGCTCCCTTCCCAGTCCCTTCCCTGGTCATTGTACCTGCCTGCTGGGGTCTACCCCCGAGACTCCCCAGCCCTCCCCCTCACCTGTCTCTCCAGGGAGATTTTGTCACACTCCAGGTCCTGGCGAGCGGACCTCTCATTCATGAGCTCTGTCCTCAGCTGGTCCACCTAGCGGGGACAGATAAGGGGAACCAGACTTGGGGAGGCTAAAGAGGAACCCGCAAGCTGAACCAAGTGAAGCAGAGTACCTGTGGGAGGGTCTCTGAACCCTGAGTCCCAGAAATTCCCAGCCTATAAAACTGGGAGGAGCCTTAAGAAGAGCACCTCCACAGTCCCACCAGGAACTAGCACCCCTTCTGAGCCAAAGCAGCCCCCACTCAGGCCAGAGCGCAGCCCAGGCCACCAGGACTCCTTCCTCCTCTCGAATTCTTGGCTTCCTCCCACGTGAGAAAGCCTGCCAGCCCTTCCCGAAGCAGACGAGACCCTGAAGTAGAACCATGTACGGGTTCTGCAGCCCAAACGCTCCAGATTAGGAAGCATGGGAGGGGAGAGTTGTGTTGAGATGGTAAAGAGGCTGTGAAGTCAGAGACAGGCAGAGATGAGGCTTAGGTAAGGAAGGGGTTACCTGGTCCCGGCCACGATTTACTCGGTCCGTCAACAGCTCCACAGTGTTCTTCTCTTCATCTAACTCTGCCTCTAGCCGGGAGACCTTCTCCTGTAGCAGAGGGACAAAAGGTTAATCCTGCCCCAAATGCCAGACACTGAAATGCCAAACTCAGACAAGGACCCCCTCAAAGGCCAGCCTCCACAGACTTCTCTCTCATCTCCATAAACCTCTTGGTCCTGTCCCTGCCAGGAGCCAACACAGAGCTACTGCCCTCTGCTGGCCAGGTGCCTCATCGAGGGGAAGGATTGAGGCATACTCTGATTAACTACCCTTCGGCAGGAAGACAAACCCCGGAATCCATTCCTCACTGCAGGAGCCCTATTTCCCTAATGGGAAAATAAAGAGAAGCCCAAATGCCCGGGCCAAGGCTAAGGTGGAGAGGATCAGAAACTGAAACACCAGGGTACAGACCGGGGGAGCAAACTCCAGAACCAGGTGGCACCACGTCGAGGTTGAGTATGGACTCTGACAACATGGATGAATCTAGAGGGCATTATGGCTGAGTGAAATAAGTCAATCACAAAAGGACAAATACTGTATGAGACCACTACTATAAAAACTCGTGAAAAGGTTTACACACAAAAAGAAACAGTCTGTGATGGTGATGAGGGAGGGGAGGGGTGGGGAGGGAAAAACACTAACCAGACAACAGATAAGTGGTAACTTTGGTGAAGGGTGAGACAGTACACAATACTGGGGAAGCCAGCACAGCTTGTTCAGGGTAAGGGCATGGAAGCTCCACGGAGGGACCAAATTACTGGGCAGAGGGCTGTGGGGACCACGGTCTCAGGCAACATTTAGCTCAATTGGCATAACAGAGTTTATAAAGAAAATGTTCTACATTCTACTTTGGTGAGTAGCGGCTGGGGTCTTAAAAACCTGTGAGCAGCCATCTAAGATACTCCACTGGTCTCACCCCTTCAGGAGCAAGGGAGAATGAAGAAAACAAGATACAAGGAAAAGATTAGTCCAAAGGACTAATGGACCACAACCACCACAGCCTCCACCAGACTGAGTCCAGTACAACTAGATGGTGCCTGGCTACCACCACTGACCGCTCTGACAGGGATCACAACAGAGGGTCCCAGACAGAGCTGGAGAAAAATGTAGAACAAAATTCTAACGCACAAAAAAAGACCAGACTTACTGGCCTGACAGAGACTGGAGAAACCCCGAGAGTATGGCCCCTGGACACCCTTTTAGCTCAGTAATGAAGTCACTCCAGAGGTTCACCCTTCAGCCAACGATCAGACAGACCCATAAAACAAAATGAGACTAATGGGGCACAACAGTCCAGGGACAAGGACTAGAAGCCAGGAGGCGACAGGAAAGCTGGTAATAGGGAACCCAAGGTGGAGAAGGGACAGTGTTGACATGTTGTGGGGTTGTTAACCAATGTCATAAAACAATACGTGTACTAACTGTTTAACGAGAAGCTAGTTCATTCTGTAAACCTTCATCTAATGTACAACGGCAACAAGCACCAACTCCTGGGACAGGGCTCACAACAGAGGGTCCCAGGCAGAGCAGGAGAAAAATGCAGAACAAAATCCAAACTCACAAAAAAGACCAGTCTTACTGGTTTGACAGAAACTGGAGAAACACCAAGAGTATGGCCACTGGACACCCTTTTAACTCAGTGCTGAAGTCACTCCTGAGGTTCACCCTTTAGTCAAAGATTAGACAGGCCCATCAAACAAACAATAATACACGTAGTTCAACCACATCTACGAGACTAAATGGGCACACAGCCCAGGGGCAAGGACGAGAAGGCAGGAGGGGGCAGGAAAGCTGGACCAATGGAAATGGGGAACCCAAGGTCGAGAAGGGGAGAGTGTTGGCATGTTGCAGGGTTGGCAACCCATGTCACAAACCAATATGTGTGTTAATTGTTTAATGAGAAACTAATTTGCTCCGTAAACCTTCATCTAAAGCACAACTTAAAAAAAAAAAAAAAGAGTACAGACTCGGGGGCCAGACTGCCTGGGTTTGAAATTCAGATCCACCACTTGCTAGCAGTGTGACCGTGGACAAATCACCTAACCTGTCTGTGCCTCAGTCTTCCTCATCTGTACAATGGAGAAAACAAGAGTACCTTTTTCACAGGGTCATTCTGAGAATTAAGCGAGTCTTACAGTGCCTGGCAGAGAGCACGATACATACGTGTTTGCTGCTGCAGCCACCGCTTGCTGTTGGGACTATTACTTATGGCCAAGTACAGCCGAATGGACAGCATTGCTACCTGTAACGAGGCAACCACACCGCTCAGCTCCAGCCAACTGCTGCCAGGCCAGAAACGCAGGGCTGAAAGCTCAGAATCACCGTATTTTTCCAATTTTACAAAAGAAGCCAGAAACCCAATTTTTTTTTTTAATTTGACTTCATATTTCACGAAATTAACTTCTAATGTTCCTCAGTTTACAAATGTTTTACAAAGTTGTATTTTATTTCATTTTACTTTCTTTTTCTATTTTCATTCTTTTTTTAAATTGTTGGGCTTTAAGTGCAAGTTTACAATTCAAGTTAGTTTCTCATATAAAAATTTATACATACGTTGTTATGTGACCTTAATTGCTCTCCCCATACTGTGACAGCACACTCCTTCTTTCCACCCCGGATTTCCCGTGTCCATTCAGCCAGCTCCTGACCCTCTCTGCCTTCTCATCTCACCTCCAGACAGAAGCTGCCCATTTAGTCTCATGGATCTACTTGAGCTAAGAAGCACACTCTTCACGAGTATCATTTTATGTCCCACAGTCCAGTCCAATCTTTGTCTGAAGAGTTGGCCACAGGAATGGCTTTAGTTCTGGGTTGACAGAGAGTCCAGGGGCGATGTCTTCTGGGGTCCCTCCAGTCTCAATCAAACCATTAAGTCTGGTCTTTTTACCAGAATTTGAATTCTGCACCCCACTTTTCTCCTGCTCCATCAGGGACTCTCTGTTGTGTTCCCTGTCAGGACGGTCATTGTGGTAGCCGGGCACCATCTAGTTCTTTTGGTCTCAGGCTGATGGAGTCTCTGGTTTATGTGACCCTCAAAAAACCCAATTTTTTATGTGGAATCTGTAAATTTCTCAACATCGGCAACTGATGCCAAGTTGTTAAAAACACTGCAGACAAACAAAACCCATCAGCTGTGGGCTGCCAGTTTTCAATCCCTAGTACAGAAGGAGGCTTGGAGCGTCCTGATTCCTTCCCCCACAGAGGTCCCCCCTCTGCAGGACATGAACACTCTCCCTCTCCACCCCCCACAGCCCACCCTTCAACGTCCTCACCTCAAGGCCCTTCAGCTGCCGAGCCCTGTCGTCCTGGGAGCGCTTCTTGTTCTCTGCCTCCTGTTCCAGGCCCTGCAGCCGCTGGGCCAGCAGCTCTTTGTCCAGCTGGGCCGTGTCCCGCTCGGCCTGGGATTCCTGCAGCACCTGCCGCAGCCTCTGGGTCTGAGCAAAGGGAAGAAAGCAAGAAGGCAGGCAGAGTGAAGAAGAAGGTGAGAGGTGAGGACCCCGCCCCGCGGGGAGGAAGATCTTATCGCTGACATTCTTCAGAATCGGCAGAGCGTGCAGATAACAAAAAGCAGACCAAGTTTTAGTTCAGAAACTCTCTGCGTAGACTGGAACCGCCTGGGGAGGTTTTAAACCTACTGATCCCGGACCCCAGAGACGATGACCTGAATGGCGCTGGAGACAGCTTGGCCCCTGAGACTTTTCAGATCTTCCCAGGTGACTCTAATGTGCAGCAGACTTTGAGAATCACTGCTCTACAGACGATGCGCCCCCTATTTTCTGTACCCAGCGTGGGCCAGTCCCCCCACCATCCCCCACTTTAGTTTATCATTGCCAGCAGACCTAAACCTGGGCCCCAGGACACCCTGGCCACAGACTCAGCTAAGAGGCAATGGGTGACCTCTTCAAACCAAGGACACTGGATGGTTGCCACCCTCCTGCCACTTAGGGGTGATCTTGAGCTCCTACCTCATCCTGAAGCCGGCTCAGCCCCCCAGAGGCCTTCTCCACCTCACTGGCCCAATCCTTGGCCTGGCGCTGGGCATCTGCCACCTCCCGCCGGGCCTTCTCTTTGTAATCCTCCAGCTGGGCCTGGAGCTGCTGCAGGGCCTGCTTGGAGCCCTCCCCAGTCTGCTCCAGCTGAGGTGCAGAGAGAAGAGAGGTCTCAGCACTGCATCTCTGTAACAGATGCCTCTGTCCCTTCTGCACACACACATGCCAAGACATTCCCAGAGCCCCCACCCTACTTTCCTGGACCTAGGTCTCTAATGCGGTGGTTAGGAGCATACAGACTGCCTGGGTTTGAATCCTGGCTCCACCACTTACTAACTGTGTGACCACAGGCAAGGGACTTATCCTCTCGGGGCCTCAGCCCTCCGTCTGTAAAATGGATATCAACAATGGCTACTTCACGAGGTTGCTGTGCTAATTGCATTAGTTAATTAGATTACATAAAGGACTTACCACGGAGCCTGACGCACGTAAACCTTAAACTACCATATTTCAGCAAACCTAAGATGCCAATAATTGTAAGATATACCACCAAGAAAGAAAAACGCGCCCACTGAACCATGACAGACCATCCATCATCAGACATAACCCAATTTCAGAGACGATAAAATGTGCATTTTATGGGCAGCTCCTGTCCGGAGGCGAGATGGGAAGGCAGAGAGGGTCAGGAGCTGGTTGAATGGACATGGGAAATCCAGGCTGGAAAGGAGGAGTGTGCTGTCACAGTACAGGGAGAGCAACTAGGGTCACATAACAATGTACGTATAAATTTTTGTGTGAGAGACTAACTTGAACTGTAAACTTTCACTTAAAGCACAGTAAAAAGAAAAAAAAAAAGGACAAATATTATATGACCTCACTTATATAAAAAAATAAGAACAGGTAAATGTATAGAGACCAAAGTTTCTTAGTGGTTACCAGGGGCGGGAGAGAGTTACTGCTGATGGAGTACTGACTTTCAGTTTACCATAATGGAAAAATCGCATTGATTAAGGGAAGGGTTGCACAGATGATTAACATTATCGCGGTCACTAAGTTGTACACCTGTAAAAAGTTGAATTGGCAAAAGCTGTGTGATAGATATATTTACAAAAATGAAAAAAAAAAAGAGTAGCTGCTGAGGTGACCTTATGGGATTTGATTCCTTGCTTTGAAGGTTTAGGGTCATGGTTTCATGGGACATCCCAGTTAACTGGCCTAATAACATGCTTAGTGCTTCTGCTCTACCTTCAATGTGTAGTGCCTGGGGTCTTTAAAGCTTGCAAGCAGCCATCCAAGGCACAACAATTGGCTTCTATTTGTCTGGAGCAACAGACGAAGAAAGAGAGTCGGGAATAGGAGGAGGATATGGAATGTGTAGCTAACTGCCCCCATGAACAACTGTCTCCTCTGCCATGAAACCAGAAGAAGTGGATGGTGCCCATCTACCATTACTGAACATTTTGATCAGAGATTCTATAGAAGAATCTTGATCAAAAGGGGGAAAATGTAGAACAGAATTACAAATTTTCAAGGATTCTAGACTCTCTGGAGCCATGGAGGCTGGGAGAACTCTTGAAACTACTGCCCTGAGACAATCTTTAAAATTTAAACCAAAAATATCCCCTGAAGTCTTCTTAAAACCAAACAATAGTTTAGCTTAGCTAGCAAAGAATGTATGCCTTGAGCATGGGCTCTTTTAAGACTATCTATATGGGATCAAATTGACAACTGCAACTGGAAAGATCAGACAGGAACCGTAAGGGGCGGTGAGTTTATGTTAATGGGGGAAGAACAGCTCAGGAAAGGAGGGTGAGAATGGTCACATACCTCAAAGAATGTGATCAATGTCACTGAACTATACACGTAAAAACTGTTGAACTGGTGTACATTCTGCCATGTACATTCTCAACAACAAAAAAAATAAATTATTTTTTAAAAAATGAAAAAAAATGTGCATTTTAGAATTGATGAAATAGTTTCTTCTTATTTTATAAAGCGATTGGGAAGAGAACCTCACCCCCAAAATGCACCTTATTTCCCTTTCTTCCTGTCTCCCTCCCCTCCCCGAAAGATGAAATTCTATCAGTGAAGATTCACACGTTTAGGGCTTCAAAGTGATAAATATCCCTCCCAGGAGGGATTCTCTCAGCACCAAGACCATAAAGGATGTGAGGGACAGTCAAAACCAAGGAAGAGAGGGAGGAAGGATGTCACTCCTTGGAAATTTGACCGTGGCCACCTCAGCAATGAATGTCAGAAAGCAAACGGCACAGTTCGGGGTTGCCCCATCCACGCCCCCCCAGCCAAGCTTCTGTATGAGCTGAGTCTCTTCCTAAGAGCCTGCCGCCCCGTGCCCCACCTCCTTGTTCAGTCTGTCCACGGTCCTGTCCAGCAGACGCTTCTGCTCCTCCAGCTCCGCCTTGTCCCGCCGGAGTGCCTCGCGCTGCTTCCCCTCATCCTCTAGGGCCTGGCTCAGCGCCTGCCGCTCCTGCCCCAGGCGGGCCAGCCCCCGCTGGGCCTCCTCCAGCCGGGCCTCCAGTGCCCGCTTGGCTGCTGCCAGGCTCCCTTCTTCTTCCTGAGCTGTGTCCAGGGCCTCTTCGAGCCGCTGCTTCTCTGCCTGAGAGGGAGGAGGTGGGAAAGAGGGGTCAGACTGCAAGGAGACAAAGCTGGGGTTCACGCATCTGGAGGTGAGGAGGAGGAGGAGTCGGCCCTGGGTGGTACAAACAATTAACGTGCTTGGCTGCTAACTGAAAGGCTGGCATTTCAAGTCTACCTAGAGGTGCCTTGGAAGAAATGCCTGGCAATCTACTTCTGAAAAAAAATCAGCTTTCGAAAACCCTATGGAGCACAATTTTACTCTGACACACGTGGGGTGGTCATGAGTCAGAATCAACTTGAGTGTACTGGTTAACTGGTTAGGTGGAAGAGGGGAGGTATCTGTGGGCAGTGAAAACAGGCTCAGAGGAGCCAGTAAAGAAACGAAGACGCAGCGAGCAGGCAAAGGGTAGGAGGGAGGGAAAACGCTAGTGAAGGGCTGAAACACGCACACCGGTGCCCGCTGGGGAATAAACCCAAGGTTCAACGCAGGGTTTGGGGAGGCAGAACAGAAGCTCGCTGAGGACAGAATAAAATGGACGGCAGAGCATTCAGCCAGAGGAAGCCAGCAATGGCAGCAGAAGCACTGACCTCCATCCGCTGCACCTTGTCGCGGAGTCGCGCCTCCACCGCTTCCCTGCCCTCCCCCAGGCCTCGCGCCTCCTTCAGCTGCTGCTCCAGACCCAGGATGCGCCGTCGGAACTCGTCGTTTTCCTCCTGGGTCTCCCGAAGCGTTGTTTCCACTGCTGCCCGACGCTGCCCCAGCACTGCGGCTTCTGCCTCCGCTGCCATCTTAGCCTGCGGGCGGGTCACAAAGCGGCGGCTCAGACCCTAGGGAGCGGGGTCGTTGCTACACCCAGGAGAGCGCCCACCAGAACGAGAGCTTAAAGAAGCTAGTGCCACCAGCCAGAGGCCTCCCTGAGAAGCCCACCCCTACAGAGATGCCGTGGGTGCCGCCAGCCACAGCCACCTCCCCTACTGCCAAATCCTGGCTGGTTTTAACCACACGCTTTGGACCAAGGATCTGGTCGGTACGTACCCATGACAGGTAACTTCCACGCCCTCTGGCTCCTCAGCCCTCCAGACCCCTCAGCCTCCACCTCCTACGCCCCATGCCCACTCCCCTTGCCTTGGAAGCCTCTTCACAGTCCTGTCTCAGCTGCTGGAGGGTCTTCTGTAGCTGTAGGTTCTGCTGGTCCAGCTCCTGGACTCGATCAGCCTCGACCCTCAGGACACCCAGCTGCTTCTCCAATTCCCTCTGGCGGTGTCGCCCAGCCATCTCCTGGCTCCGCTGCTCTGCCTGCAGCTCCTTAAACTCCTCCTGTGTCTGGTGCAGCTCCTAGAATGGAAGCGGCCTGGTGACAGGACAAAGAGAGCCAGACTGGGGTACCAGAGTCCTGCATTCACCTGGCCTGGTTCTTTAAAATCGCAGAAGAACCTCTGGCTCCTGCTGCTTAATAGAGGGATCTCAGGATTAACAATTAAAGAAGTAGCTAGATTTTTGCTTAATCAAAGAAGCCAGGCTCACAAAAAGGGCCACATACTGTATGATTCTATTCAGATGACATTCTTGAAAAGTAGAACAATTCAGCAGATACCAGGGGCCAGGCCAGAGAGGGCTGGCTACAGAGGGGCAGTGGGAGGTAATTTTTGGGGGGTGATGGAACTACTCTGTATGTTGATTTTGGTGGTGGATACACAGTTCTATGCATTTGTCAAAACCCACAGAACTATACGCCACTCAGAGTGAATTTTATCATATACACATTAAAAAAAAAAAAAAGGAGCTGGTTCTACCTTGGGATCAAGAGCTCTGAGGCGCAGAACGTTGGCCGGCAGCCCTGTAATGCCATCATCCCCTGCTATGTTCAAATCCGCTGAGTGTGGACCAAGCACCAGTACTGTGACAGATACCACAGGAGACACAGAGAAGGTATCCATGGGGCCCAGACTTTCAGATCATATAATCTAGTAGGGGCCAGAAGTCTAATAGAAATAATGAAGAATGAGTAACAGAACTACTCAAATGCAAAGTGAACAAATACAGACTCTAATCACGGAGTTCAAAGGAGGGAGAGAACTTGTGCTGGGAAAAGCTTCAAGGTCAAGAGCACACCACTGGGCCTGGGCAGATGGATGGGTAAGGTCAGGCAGAAAGTGGTAGAGGAAGGGCGTTCCAGGTAGAGGGAGTTACCCAAGTGGAAGAGGGAGGCAGAAATCTGCGTGGTATATGTGCTGTGCATAAATGTAGGATTGCATAAACATGGCTCATCCTTAATAAGTTAAAAACTAGAGACATTAAGATTTCCCTGGAGACTGAAATACCAAAATCACATGGATTAAAGCAGTGGTTTTCAATCCTAGCTGGACATCAAAACCGAACGATATGATATCTCTGAGACTTGCTTCAAAAATTATGGGGACTCAATAGATGGATCCTGATCAAAAAGAGGAAAAATGTGGGACAGAATTTTAAATTCTTATAGAATCCAGACTTACTGGACCTATTGGGACTGGGGGGACCCCTGAATCTACTGCCCTGAGATAATCTTTAAGCCTTGAACCAAAACTATCCCATGAAGTCATCTTTAAACAACGGTTTAGCTCAACTAGTAAAGATGTTCACCTTGAGCAGTGCACCTTTAAAGAATTACCTACATGAGATCAAATTGACAGCAGTAACTCTAAAACACAGAGAAGAAGTGTAGGGAATAGAGAGTCTAGGTTAATGGTGGTGAAAGAACATGGGTAGAGATAGGGAGAATGGTGACACAATGCAAAGAATGTAACCAATGTTGAACTGCGCAAACAGAAAATGTTAATGGATGTGTTTTGTTGCGTATATTTTCACCAAAAAACAAACCAAAAAAAAAAAAAAAATGGAGAGAGAAAATTAGCGAAACCAAAAACGGGTTCTTAGAAAAGATCAGCAACAAAACTGACAAACCTTTAGCTAGACTGATCATGAAAAAAAAAAGATGCAAATATCTAAAATCAGAAATGAAAATGGGGACATTACAACCAACCCTACAGACATAAAAAGGGTCATGAAAATACTATGAACAACTGTATGCCAACAAATTAGATAATAAAGATGAAACGGACAAATTCCTAGAAAGACACAAAACTACCAAAACTAGATCAAGAAGAAATAGAGAATCTGAACAGATTTATAAATGAAGAGACTGAATTGGCAATCAAAAAACCTCCCACAAAGAAAAGCCCAGAACCACATGGCTTCAATGGCAATTTTTACCAAATGTTTAAAGAAGAATTAACACCAATCCTTCTCAAACTCTTCCCAAAAATAAAAGAGGAGGAAACACTTCCTAACTCATTTTATGAGGCCAGTATTACTCTGATACCAAAGCCAGACAAACATATCACAAGAAAAGGACACTACAGACTAATAACCCTTAGGAATATAAATGCGAAAATCCTCAGCAAAAGGCTAGCAAACCAAATGCAGCAGCATAGTAAAAGGATTATACACCATAACCAAGTAGGATTAATTCCAGGAATGCAAGTGTGATTCAACATGCAAAAATTAATCAATGTAATACACCATACTATTAGAATGAAGAGAAAAAAAAACACACATGGTCATCTTAATTGATGCAGGAACAGCATTTCACAAAATCCAACACCCTTTCATGATAAAAAACACTAGGAAAAGAAGAGAATTTCCTCAAACTGATAAAGGGCATCTGTGAAAAGCCACATCCAGATCATACTTAACGGTGAATGACTGCAAGCTTTCCCCACAGTACAGTGTGGGACTGACATAGATCAATGGAACAGAATTGAGGGTCCTGAAATAAAGCCATAAATGATTTCTAACAAGGGTGCCAAATCCATTAAGTGAAGAAATAATCTCTTCAGCAAATGGTGCTGGGACAACTGGATAGCCACATGCAAAAACATTAAATTGGACCCCTACCTCACACCAAATACAAAAATTAACTCAAAATGGATCAAAGAGGGTGGGGCCAAGATGGTGGAGTACTTAGATGCTTCCAGTGGACCCACTTACAACAAAGACCCGAAAAAACAAGTGAATCGATTATATATGGCAATCTGGGAGCCCTGAACATCAAAGGTAGAGTTGAGGAACTGGACTGAGTGGCAGGGGGATGGAGAGACAGTTTGGAAGCAGTGAGGAGTTGCCAGACCTGACCTGGCGAGAGCCTGAGCCCTTCAGGCCTGATCAGCTCATGGGTGAGCGGTGAGGCAGGCAAGCAGCAGTGCTCGGGAGGTGTATTCCACACCAGGAGAGACCCAGCGGCAGAGAGTCTACTCGGCCACCCAGAACCAGTGAGAAGCAGCCCTCAATCGGTGAAAGATAAGTACTTGAGTACGGCCTACCGTGTGGATCAAAAATACCCCGAGAGAAAAACCTCTCTCCCATTTACCTCCCCGCTCCCTGCTCTGCACTGGGTCCAGGACCGGCTTCAGCAACTGCCAGGTCCCCTGGGCCAGAAGTAGGATCTGTCACACGCCCGGAGCCATTCTCCCTGCCTTGGAGAGTGAACAAATTAACAAACAGGGTAAAAAAGAAACTGCCAGTTCCCCTAAGCAAGAAACCCAGGGTAGGCACAGCTCCTTTGCCTAGACACAGACATAAGGGATCCACGGACTTTGAGTGCCTTTCCCCCTGTACAGACTTGTGTGGGCACATTTCAACAGTGTAAGCCCTCATTACCACAGCACAATAGGGTATATACTGGAAGTCTAACTTCAACTGTTTCAGCTGTGAAGTGGCAGTTTCTTGACATTTGACACTGCTCTGCCCATTAAGCAGGGTCTTCACCTACCCACATCAGGGACCTGAGGACTGGTGGCTCCACCTAGCCACCTGTGATAGGGGCCCAAGGATAAGGGATGCCCCCAGGCCTTATAGACAACAGCATAAGATGCTCATAGTCCGGCTGCAAAACCCACCCACCTACGCGCGCTAAGAAACAGGGACACGCCTTCCTCCTGGACACACTGGGGCAGCCATAAGCCCCGTCTTGCTCAGAGTGTGTCCCCCTGCTGCAGCCAGATGCCCATGTGTACACCAATCACCCATGCCTGTCTAGGACTGTAAATGAGAACCTACACCACACACTTGGTGGCTACCTACCTGGACACCTGAGCTGAATCCGTACGGGAGGAGTGGGTGGACTCCTGAGCTCACATACCTACTAACAGATCTAACCACCTGGTGACAGGACATTAGAGCTTCAAAGGTGCCAATAATCAAAATAGCCCATACAAGCAGCCCACTTGGGCATATAAAAACAAAACAAGAAGCTAGGACACAGTAAGTAAACATAAAATAAATAAATATAATAACTTATTGATGGCTCAGAGACAACAGTCCATATCAAATCATATAAAGAGGCAATCCATGATGGCTTCAGCAAGCTCCCAAAACAAAGAATCTAGAAATTTTGCAGAGGAGGAAAATTTCTTGGAATTACCAGAAGCAGAATACAAAAGAGTACTGTACAGAACTTTTCAAGAAATTAGAAAGGAAATTCTTCAAAACGCAGAACACGCAATAGAGGAAATTAAAAAGATTAGAGAATAATGTCAAATTTAACAGGCTGCAAGAATCCATAGAGAATCAGCAATCAGAAATCCAGAAGATTAAAAATAAAATGTCAGAATTAGGCAACTCAATAGAAAGTCACAGGAGCAGAACTGAGGAAATGAAAGTCAGAATTAGTGAGATTGAAGATAAAGCACTTGAAACCAACTTATCTGAGGAAAAATCGGATAAAAGGATTTAAAAAAATGAAGAAATCTTAAGAATTATGTGGGACTCTATCAAGAGGAATAACCTATAAGTGATTGGAATACCAGAACGGGGTGGATAACCAAAAATACAGAGAGAATTGTTGAAGATTGGTTGGCAGACAACTTCCCTGATATTGTGAAAGATGACAAGATATCTATCCAAGATGCTCATCGAACCCCACATAACATAGATCCCAAAAAAGAGTCACCAAGACATTATAATATTATAATCAAACTTGCCAAAACCAAAGATAAAGAGAGAATTTTAAGAGTGGCTAGGGATAAACGAAAAGTCATCTACAAAGGAGAGTCAATAAGAATAAGCTTGGACTACTCAGCAGAAAACATCCAGGCAAGAAGGCAATGGGATGACATAAATAAAGCCTTGAAGGAAAAAACTGCCAGTCAAGAATTATATATCCAGCAAAACTGTCTCTCAAATATGACGGCAAAATTAGAGCATTTCCAGATAAAGAGTAGTTTAGGGAATTTGCAAAAACAAAACCAAAATTACAAGAAACTCTAAAGGGAGTCCTCTGGTTAGAAAATCAGTAA